CAGCCTCAACATGTGGCTGATCACATACAGTTTTTACAGTCATTGTATTTGTCTTAAGTATTTAGTGTTTAAAGCACTAGTGATCATTCTAATTATTATTTGTTTGCAATACAGTAGTTTAAATTCTTTCTTACTTTAATTGTATGCTGGTTATTGTTAAAGATGGGCCTATGAACAACTGAATACAAACAATACTGGATGAATTATTACTTATAAATAATAATAAAACATATTAGTTAAAAAATCTTCAAGTTATACAATTTTTAACTGTTTTAACATGTCTTCTTAATATCATGGTCAATAAAACCAGAATTTCCACTAACTGTAATTTTATTTATTTCTCTGCTTAATGCTATTGCATTAAGCAGAGAAATAAATAAAATTACAATTAGTCAGATGTTGTTGTTAGTTTATATGAATGCCAAAGTGATCGCAATAAATGGTGTTAATTAACTCCACATTCTAAATCCACACTGCTCTGGGGCATCCACCTTGCTTAGAGGCATGTTGAGGAAATCATACACATCTGAACTTAGAGACATTTAGAGATTATTTTGGAAAGTTATTATAAGTTCCTTTTGAATGTTTATAATAAATGGGTTAAACCTTCAAAGGAGACTTGTTTCTGTCCCACACTCCTACATACTCACCAATACAATTGAGCTTATATGGAGTTAATTAGGTGAGCTAGAGAAAGTCCTAGATGGTCTTGGTTGAGAAGACAAAGCAGAAACACAAGCACAAAATAAAAGATTAGAACTTGTTAGACTAGGTATTGTTTGTTGGAGAGATTAGTAAAAAGGCAGTTGGATTAACGTAACCGGTTGTGTAACAAAAGAACAAAGCGTGCACAAAGATTATACACAGTTTTTACTCACGGAAGGTTAGCGCTAGAAAGAGGAGAGTGAAATGAGGTCACCTTCCCCGAGGGATCAAGAGTGCAACCAACTTTTTATTACGTCAGAAGAACATTACAAAACATCGTGATTGTTGATTCCAACAGAACTTACGCTGACTTTAAGCAGTTATAGAAGAAGCACAGATGGGAGAGAATAAGGTGAACAAATGGAGAGAAAGCCTAGTGACCTTGATTCTGCAGTTTATATAGGATTCTAGAACAAAGTTCTGATTGGCTTAGATCTTCCTTCTTTGCTTCCCAGTTGGTCACCTTTCTGTTTCCAGGTGTAACAAGACTCAGATTAGAGCACAAGAAAGTTTGATTGTCCAAGTACTATTCATCCAATGACTGGGGGATGAATAATCATACTCCCCCTGTTGCCATCCCAGAGTACATCCTATCTGAGGATTGCATGTACTTTGAAGGCCATCATAATGGACCAAAAGATAAAAAAACATAAACTGAAGAAATGAAATCTATAGAAGCCAATAGCCAGGAACATGAAGAAGTAACATAGTAATATGTGACCATAGGTAGAGAAGGACCAAAAATAATCAGATCAGGCAATAGAGGAAAACCACAAAAAGAATATAAATACAATGTCCAATCATTCAGAGGAAGAGGAAAGTAAAATGGTTCCTGTGCAAGAGGACAATATCGTAGATATCATTGGCACAGCAGATGTCCTAAAGTTGATGGAATGGAAGGAGATGATCCAGAAGAAGTTTTCATCTCTTCTTAGAAAGAAAATGTAAATATGCAAATGACCTAGTGATTGTGATGTTATTGGTTGTAAATTGGTAATAACTGATAAATATGTCTGATGGAACATAAGAGTATAAACTGTAACATAATTAACATACGGAAAATAGGAATAAGGATAAGGAACATAAGTGACTGATAAATATTTATATAAGTATAAAAAATGGCTGAGATTGGCAAAACATAAGTACCCATCATTTGTCTAACTTCAGTTAGGCTAATCATGGCATTAGCTGTCAAATGGGAAATGAAAATACATCATCTTGATGTCAAAACAGCTTATTTAAATGGAGACCTAAAAAAACCTTTTTAAAGGAGGCACTAACTGAATTAAGTGAAAAAGGTGACAAATTTATAACAAAATAATGCAAAAGAAATGTTATGGAAACTGAAAGATGATAAAGTTTGTAAACTAAGCAAAGCTCTATACAGACTTAAACAGTCTGGATGCCATTGGTGTAAGAAGTTGCACCATACATTATTATTTCAAGACTTAAATCCCTAGGTTCAGATTCATGCCATTACATCAAGGAGGATGACAGTGCTGTACTACTGCTAGGAGATGACATAATACTAGTGTTAAACAACATAAAACAGATTGAAGATATTAAGCATATCCTCACAAAAAGTTCTCAATGAAAGATCTTGGCATAATCATCTTCTACATAGGTATTGAATTTAAGTGTAATGAGGAAAAATCAAAAATTAATTTATCACAAAAAATATATATAACTTATCTTTTAATTAAACAGATACAAAATGTCAGATTATAAACTAGTTGCAACCCCAATGAAAGCTGGTAATAAGTTATCGAAACCTAATACCGTGTTTCCCCTAAAATAAGACAGTGTCTTATATTAATTTTTGCTGTCAAAGATGCGCTAGGTCTTATTTTCAGGGGATATCTTATTTTTCCATGAAGAAGAATTAACATTTATTATTGAACAAAAAAGTTCCCAATTTGAACTTAGACGAGAGTGACGTATATCCAGTTGTGTCGAACTGAACTTAAATAAAACCGAAGTGAACTATAAAAAGTTCCCATGCTGGAGTGGACTTCCCACTCTCGCTTCAACTTAACCTTTTTTATAGCGTCGACATCGGGCTCGATGACCAATTAGTGCTTACTGAACCGTAGCACTATGCAAATGTGATGTGGTGTGATTCCCGGCCGACCAATTACTGATCACAAGCCATAACGTTATGCAAATCTGTGATTCCCAAGCCATAGTCTTATGCAAATTATGCCGTGTGGCATGATTGTCTGCTGACCAATCAGTGGCTGTACTTTCAAAAAGCCAACGGCCAATTTCAACCATCTGTCGATGACCATTACGAGTAAAAAAAACTTTGCTAGGTCTTACTTTCAGCAGGAGACCTTATATTTAGCAATTCAGCAAAACCTGTGCTAGGTCTTATTTTCAGAGGATGTCTTATTTTCAGGGAAACACAGTATGATGTCTTAGAAGATATGAAAAGGATAACATTCAGATCTCTAATTAGTTTGCTCATGTATTTAGCCATAGTGTAAGTGTATGGCTATGTAGGTACCAGGGGCGTGCCGTGACATTTGACTTTAGGGAAGCTGTGTTTCTGTAAGAAGCCGACATCCAGGGGCAATCAGTCAATTGCGCGTCAGTGATGGTCTAGGGTCCATTCGTATCGTTTATTCGATAAGCCAGTAAAAACCGTAGACTTCTCTAAATGCATTTTTAATATCACAATTACATTCCGAATCGCTAGCCACGATATAAGGGCTACAATTAAAAATAAAATAATAAAAACTTACTCGGTGAAATAAAATATGTGGTGGATGTACCGGTACATACAAAATATTCTTCAATTATATGAATNCAAGGTCGTAGGCTTCCACCGGCTAAACCGGGTGAGGTTGGTGTTCTGTAAAGCGCATGCGCAAATCTGGCTTTTCGTAATCTGAAAATACAGGAGATTACACTCTGCCACTAATATTCTAATATACAATAGCAATTTTTTTTTTTGGTTTTTTCCACGTGTAGTATAGAAATTTGTAATAAGATACATAATGCGGTTATAATAAAATATTGTGTGATTATTTTCATATAATTAAAATTAATATTTATTTATTTTTTAGAGAATACGAGGGAAGCGGCGCTTCCAACGCTTCTAATGACGGCACGCCACTGGTAGGTACACTTAGTCAGTTTAATAATTGCTACAGTGAAAAATACTGGAGAGCTGCTAAGCATATCCTATGCTATTTGAAAGGAACTGCATCATAGATAAAAGATCCTATACTGGATATGTATTTAAGCTTGGAGGGACTGCAATATCATGGGAAGCGTGCAAACAGCACACCATTGCATTCTTGAGTGTAGAAGATGAATATATGGCATTGACAGAAGGTTCAATGGAAGCTATACACTTTTGAAGAATCCTTCATGACCTCAATAACCATAAATTGTGATAGCCAGGATGCTCAACATCTGGCAAAAAACCATACATAGCATGCGCAGGCCAAACACATTGATGTAAGGCATCATTTTATTTGTCATACCCTTTATAGAAAATTGACCATCGAATACCTACAAATGAGTGAAATGTTGGCAAATGTCTTTATAAAAGCTTTAACCAGGAAAAGCACAATTTCTGTTGCTGTGAATTGAATTGCCTGATGAGAATGACAACTTCAGTTTGAGAGAGGGTATTGAGATTCAAATCTTGTCATTGCCAAGTGGAGCTATGCAAGCCCTTTGTTCATATATCTGTAAATGAGACCCCTTTTGTATTAGACCTCTTTTCCCTTTGTTACCCTAAGTACAACACCATTGAATGTTGGGTAGATTGAGCTAGGTAGATAGGTACTGTACATTCAAAGGCATTGGATGTACCAATCTTGGGTTTACCAATTTGATCTCTGAATAAATCTATGTTTTCTAAATACAGATCCCAGTTATTGAGTTATTAACCAACAAAAAGATTAAGATGTCTTAAAAATACTTTTAATTTTTGTAAGATATAAGTTATACTGTAGTATTTAATGTTCATTTTTATTAAAAAATTTATTTGAAAAAATTCAGAAATGAATTTAATAATACCATGGTTACTAGGATTTTAATCAATAGATATACATATTTTATGACAAGATGTCTTTATTCCATTTTCAAAATAAGAAATTTATCAACACTGAAATAATTCTGAAGAGTTTTTTTTATTTAATATAAATTAAATTATAATGGAATTTATATTAAATAAAGTTTATTATTATAAATAAAAAACTTAATTTTGTTTAATATTAATTTCTAAATAATTACTGCAATAATAATAATGATAAAAAATGACATAATAAAAACAAATATATTTACTTGAGTCTAGAGAAAATGAAGGATATTATAATAATTATAAGTAAAAATGCTGCCAGGGACCCAAATATAATCATCATAAAATGATAGTGGTTTCCATTTTCATCCTTGTCTCTAATTTCTTTTAAAAAGGAAGTGAGTTTAAATGATCCAAAACTATTTTGAATTTGTTGTTGAACATCTGTAAATCTAAATCAAGAAAATTACAATATATTATTACATTTTTATTTTTAAATATTTTGAAAATGATATTTTCAGCAAATAAACAGAAAAATTAAATGTTTAAATTGTTAACTTCCACAACAACACTTTATCCCACCGTGAATTATTTATTAACTGTAACAAACATTTTCAATTTGTTCTACAGGCCATCTTCAGATTTATAAAAATCACGGAATGTTGATAACTGTTCTTTTTGTATAGAACAGTTAATAACACATTTACAATACAAAATTCTTTGGAATATCAAACTATTTGAATTCAAAGAATAAATTACAGTAATATATATACAATTTAAAATAACAAAATAAAGATAGAAAAGAAAAAAAGAAAAATAAAGAAAACAATAAATTACATTTACAATATCAGTTTTTGATTGTATGGACACTATGCACTATTCTCTAATAAGTTCTTTTTGACCATATATTTCCATGTTGTGGGTAATACTGTGGCATCCTTATTGTTTACACATCTGCCCATAAGGATACTTCTATTTCAACTTTTTCCGAATTCATTGCTAACGTTGGTGAGTGTATTAGTGTGTCTTAACTGTTCTATACAAAAAGAACAGTTATCAATGTTCCACGATTTTTAAAATCCTGAAGATGGCCTCTAGAACAAGTTGGAAATGTTCTACAGTTAATAAATAATTCTTAGTGGGATGACATAGTGTTGTGAAAGTTAAGAAGCATCTAGCTAAGTATAAATTATTATTGTTTAGTTCACTTACTTATCTTTCATTTCTTTGTAAGTTAGAAGAGTTTTATTATGTAGTATTGTTGAAATTATTTCATAACTGTAAATATTAGGAATATAAATTATAAATTAGATTAAATATGTAAATTCTTTAAATATATCAACTTAATCTTATATTTTTTTGAATTAACTTACTTTTTCATATTATTATTTGAATCTTTCAAGTAATATTTTAAAATATGAAAAGACATTTCTTGGTAATTATTTTGCTGCTGTAAAATTCCTGTTATGTTTCTAATTAAAAAAAATATATATATATAAAT